TCTGCTTCTCCCTCTGACCCTCCTCCCTCTCATGCTCTCTGTCTCTCATTCTCTCTCTCTCAAATAAATAAAAAAATCTTTAAAAAAAAAAAAAAATCTTGGGGTGGCTGGGTGGCTCAGTCGGCTAAGCGTTACTTATTTGAACCCACAACCCTGCTAGGGAAAATTACGGTGTTGATTTTTGTGGTAATTATTTTCTTCCTTCTCTTTAGAGATATCCATCCTTAAATAATATTTTTTTTAGCTTCATACAATGCAGTTGTACTATTACGTACTGTCTTGCTTTTTTCATTGAACACTCAGCATTTCTTTTAAATAAAATTCTGGTATAGTTAACGTACAGTGTTACATTAGCTTCAGGTGTACAATATAGTGATTCAGCACTTCTCTACATTACTCAGTGCTCATCATGGTAAATTAACACCATTTGTGAGATCCAACCAAGTTGTATGCAGTTGAGGCTGATTTTCATTGCTATGTAATGTTCCCTTTGAAGAATAGTGCTCTGGACTTAGTCATTTTGATCAATTTCCATAACCCAAAATTGAAGGAAGGACCACACGAGGACAGCCAGGGCACATGAAGTCTAGAGGAGGTGGAGTAACAGCCACCATGATTTGAGTCTGTGTATGAGGTTTCCTAAGTAGACTCCACTTTTATCCTTAAAGGAACCCTGCAAGGCAGCGGTGCGGGCCCTGAGGGACTCTGACACAGAGCACAGGGAACTTGCCAGAAGCAGGAAGCCCTGGGAGTGGGGAACGGAGTCCAAGTGTCTGGGTGCTTCTCCTGGCACTCTGAACCCACCCTGGCTTCTCTTGCAGACCCCATGCCGCAGCTGGATGTGACGGAGGCCAACAAGGAGTTCATGGAGCAGAGCGAGGAGCTGTACGACGCCTTGATGGACTGTCACTGGCAGCCCCTGGACACAGTCTCTTCAGAGATCCCTGCCATGATGTAGTCGGGACAGAGGACCAGCCGAAAAGGACTGTGTGGTGGAGAGGAGAGACTCCTTTTTAACAAAGTATTAGAAGAACTTTTAACTTTCTGGAAATGTTTTGTAAGATTTTAGTGATCAACTCTTCTGAGATTATGACCATTTCTGCAACATTGCTGCCTTCCTTTGCCCGTGAGCCTTCGGGGTTTGACAACCACGGTGCCATTGAGCAAGGTTCTACTTGTCCTTGAAAAGTTAATTTTTCCAGGTAGGGATGTTACCCACTTTTGGAGATAAGGAGAGTTTGGGGTTATTAATCTAAGTGGATCATAAGATTTATTCAACCCAGAGGGCCATCTCAGGTGACAGACGCTGCATCCTTAAGGTTCTCTGGGGTCACAGTGCATGGGTTACCTGTTGTATGCCTCGTGGGGGGCAGTGTTGATCATCCATTCAAGTATCCCTTCACCCCGACAAGTTTGCTTTTAAGTTTGGTGGCTGTGTGTGGTAGGCTGTAATGGAACCAGCTAAATCTAGACCAAAGGGCTCAAGACTTGGGGCCATGCTCCAAGGGCAAGCCTAGCCTCAGTAAGCCCTTATTGAGGGACATTAATGTGACTGTGTGCCTGGCCCACCGGTTTCTTGACATTATTTTCATTTGATAGATAGGTATGAATCCACTTACAATGCTCTCCAGCACCCATGTGGAAAGTCTCGATTTACACTAAAAATCTGCAGCTCACCTCTACTCGTTTGTGCTAGAGGAAATTGCAGGCGGGGGGCGGGGGGGGGGCGCGGACAATGGGGGCAACTTGGGGTAAATGGTCTAGGTCACAAGAAGCCTTCAGATATTTTAAGGAATACGTATTAGGCTCTGCCTGAATTTTCAGGCTTTTTGGAGGAAAAATTAATTATGTATAGTGGAACTTGTAGAGGTCAACCTATCTTTATGAAGACGACACTGTAATGGGGAACAAGAAAACGGACACAAACATACTTCAAGTCTTTTACTAGTCACTTCTATGCCATGTGCCACCAGTAGCAGAAATACAAAGGTCATGGTTTTCCACTAAAATAATCTGTTCTTTCAGCTTGCCTCTTCCCAGTGTTTCTGTCCTGCAAAGGAAGTGTAAGCCAGTGTGTTAATACACCCCCAATTAATTGCCACCCAGACTTTTTCTGAAGAGCTGGTCTCAGTCCCATATCCGCATTTATCATCCATAGATGTCCACTCAGATTAGGTTTCATCCTGGACCAGTCAGCCTAAAAAACGTCCCACACCAGATGAACTACACTTGTTTCTACCCAACCCATCTCCCACACTCCTAGGAAAGGGAGATCCCAGGTTTGAGGTTTCCCCAAATGTCAGCATAAGTTCAAACCACAATTGTACATTCACAGCAATCGGCCCTTGCTGCCGAAGGTACAGGGCTTTGGCATCTGGTACCTTCTACTCCTAGCAGTATGCTCTTGGCCTTCCAACAGGATGGGCAAATCTAAGACTCAAGTCACACTGTAAACATTTTTCTCTTCTGGCCATGAACAGCTAATACGGCATACAAGGTCAGGTGTAAATGACATATGAAAACGCTAAGACTTCCCAGAGGCCTGACTAGCCTTCTATCGATTCACTACACTACTCAGGGTTCACAAGGCTCAAGCACTACTGGAAGCTGCAAGGAAGCTATGACGTTTCAGGTAGCCAACTCACCCAACTATAGATCCATAATCACAGACAAGGACAACTTTACTGGTAACAGATCTAAAAAAAAAAAAAACAAAAAAACACCACCAAAATGGACACTCTCAAGAGGCAAGAAAACCATTCATTAAGTCAGCAATCACTACAACTGCCCAGAGCTTCACATACATCCTCCCTTTAAGCCTAAGATTCCCCCATTTTAGAGGGGAGGAGGAAACCGGGTCAAAGAGAATTCAAACCCTGTTTGAAACTAGCCCACAGTCATATATAACAGACTATAAGCACCACGAGGCCAGCTTCAGTATCCCTTTTCCTCCTTTTACGACCACCAAGACCAGCGTTCAGATCCGATGGGAAAGGGAACCGGAGGGTCAGGCTGTCTCCAGCATCTAACTTTACCTTGTCTAAAGCACAGCAACAACCTGGTATCCTCAGACTCTTCGGTAGCAGACACTGACAGGAACACTTGGGGGCAACCTGCAGAAAAAAGTGTGAAAGCTCTAAACCCGAAATACATCCAATACACCCATCTTCATGGAAGTTTATGGAAAACACCTGGACTCGGGCAGAAGGCCTCCGACCCAGGTCCTGGGCTGTTATAGGAAAGGCGAGTGGCAGCTGCAGGTATTATGCTGACCTGTGCTGTCAAAGTCTCTCCAGGTTGCTCTCGCATGCAGTTGGAGATCCCGTGGCCACACCCGGCCACAGCCCTTGGAAACATGCTGTACTGACCCGCCAGGTAGTTCCCAGAAACCTACCAGGTCCCAAGGTGGTTGTGTTCCATCACTGTCATGACCCCAGAATCCTCACCAAAAAGCTCCACTTCAAAGTCATCCTGGAATCTTCATCTGGGACAGCTGAGATGAGAAAACAGTTGTCCTGAATGATCTTACTGTTCCCTTCCTTTGGTCTTCATAATCAAAGGTGTGACTGGCTTTTGGTACTTCCGCCGTAAGCTTTTTCGGGGCAGTGACCCACAGCACTGCTGAGATCTGTGCCACTTGCCAATAGATTTTCCCAGTACACCTGTCCACGCCACTCGGCCTGCCCCACCATACTGGTTCTTGGTCTCAGCAATTTACTTCTCCCAAGTTTTTTTCTAGCAACTCTATGTAGGACGCTATTAACAGGGACGCCTGGGTGGCTCAGTTGGTTAAGCGTCGGTCCTGGGATCGAGCCCAGCATCGGGCTCCCTGCTCAGTGGGGAGCCTGCTTCTCCCTCTGCCCCTTCCCCCGCTCGTGCTTGCTCTCTCCCAAATAAAAAAAAAGACCCCATTAACAAAACGTTTCTGCTGGCCTCTGGAAACCTGTCAATTGTAATAAAGGACTCCACCTATACCTGAGAAATGGCAGGTACAACAGGAACTGTCTTTTCCTGAAATGTTGCAGATCAGTTACAGCAAACAGAACGGCGACCGTCAAGGAAAACTGTCACTCTGGGCTCCTTTTTGACCACAGCAGCTATGTGGAAGCAGCTGCAGCTTCGATAAGGGCCACAGGGCAATTTAGGTCCCAGGACCGCTCCCAAATGCCACCTAGCCCCCTAGACTCACCTAGAGCCCGTGCACTATTGCGTAACAAATTCATGGACTGAAATATACTGGAGACCAAATAAGAGAACAGATACCATCGGGGCGCCTGGGTGGCTCGGTTGGTTAAGAGTCAAGACTCTTTATCCCGGGAACAGGTCTTGACCTTATGGTCTTGCGTTCGACCCAGAGCCCCGCACTGGGCTCCACGCTGGGCATGGAGCCTACTTAAAGAGAACAGATACCCTTTTATATGTACTTTTTAGACTGAGCTTATGCCCAACATGGGGATGGAACTCAGGACCCTGAGATCAAGAGGCGCATGCTCAACCGACTGAGCCAGTCAGGCGCCGAAAAGATATCCTATTACCGGGTCCCAATTACCACTTTATTTTACTATGTGTCAGAGTTTTACCTCATTTCATCTTCACAGGACCATTTTATCATCCGTTTTACCGGTAAGTTTAGACCAATTAAGCTATCTACTTAGGGTCGCCAATCAATGCAGAAAGCCACAGACCTGGGATTCAAAATAGGACCTAAAGGACTCTAAAACGCGGCCCCCAGAAAACCCTACCCTTTTATCCACCTGCATGGATTGCTTAACTTGTTGTGCAGCCAGACGACAGGTGAAATCACTTCCCCAAGGTCACCCAATACGTGGCTTTAACAGGCAGTTTCAGATCTGGTGGACACCACCGCGCAAATTAAGCCACTTCAGACCCAGGACTGCCCTGCACCAGGCCGCCTGCCCGCGTCACTCACCCGTCGCACTACGGTGCAGCGATGCGCGGGCCGAGGCGGGAGCAGGTACGGCCCTCTCAGGCTCCGGCCCCTCTCCCCGCGCATGCGGCCGACCAGGCCTTCCGGGTGTTGGTCCCAGCGGGCCGGGAGGCCCGGCAGCTCCGAGCCGCTCTCATCATCCCGCAGCCTCGGAGGCAGGCCCGGCGGGTGCGGGGCCAGCGGCGGCGAAGCTACGGCGGGGGGAGAGGAGGCTGGGCGTGAACTGCAGCAGGCCTGGGTCTCCAGGACCAGAGACGCCACCACCACCCCGGCTGGGGAAAAGGAAGTCCGTGTCTTGGAAGGGGGGCTTATATAGGCCTCGCCCCTGGAGGCCGCGCCGACAATTGGAGCAACGCGCCGCGCAGACCGCTGGGAGTTGTAGTCCGCCCGCCCTCATGCCGGGCGGCGCGTCCCGTTCCAAGACCTAAGCGCGTGTGGAGTCCCGGCCTTTTGACCGGGGCTGGAGCGACTTTCCGCCTGTGTTCCGGATTCACTGAACGTCCGGTACTGGGCACTGAGCTTACAAATGAAGCCGACCCGCCATGCCCGCTGGAGTTCAGTCAGACTTCCAAAGTCGGGAAATGACGCTATGAGCTGCGACAGGGCAGCCGCGGCTGAGTGGGTTTGGGGAGGCGCTCTGGGAGCTCCTGTTGGAGCGGGGCCCGTGGGGAGGGCTTCTTAGGAAGGAAAAGGCGGCCGAGTCCTCGGAAGAGGAACGCATTCTTTGTTCAAGACTAGCCTCTTGCGCTAATAGATAAATTACTGAGCGGTTACTAAGTAAATGATACTCGATTATCTCAGCTAGTTTTCATAATAACCCTGTGTATAGTTATAGTTATACCCACTTTACAGATAAGAAAACTGAGGAATGCATCAGCCAGGTAGCTAACGAGGTAAGGACTGGAATCCACGAGTCCACCGCAGAGACCACACTCGGAGTCACTGTGCCACGAGCACAGTGGAATGAGTAAGCGTCAGTGTAAAAACAAGTAGTCGTCAAGAATTAAATACCTATTCTGTGCTTAAACTCTTTATTAATTTTTATCCTTAATATACACTTTAAAAAGTAGGTACTACTATTATTCCCATTTTATGGAGAAAACAACAGACTCTGAGAGAGAAACTTTCAGGTGACTCCCAAATGTGTTTCTCCAGCCTCTTTTCTCCTGAGCGCCAGACCTTACACCCTGCAGCTTCCTGGACACCTACACCTGGCTAATAAATAGGCTTCTCAGAACACAGCCTTTCCTCCTCCGCACCGGCTCTTCCCAATCTCAGTAAATCCTTGGAGGGACCCTGGTCTCTTTCTCTACCGTCCTACTTCGGACCCGTCAGCAAATCCTGTATTCTCCACCTTTAAGATGGTAAGACATTCCTTACCACCCCACTGATGCTGTCACTGCTCACCCACAATCACAGTAAGCCTCCTAATCAGTCTCCCCGATTCTGCCATTCTTCCCTATAGTCTGGTCTCAACACACCAGCCACGATGTTTGAAGAGCAAAAGTTTTTAATTTTGGTGAAGTCCAATGTCTATTTATTTATGCTTTGTGCTTTTTGTGTCCTAATTTAAAAATTTTTGCCTAGCTCAAAGGCATTAAGATTTTCTCCTATGTTTTCTTCTAGGAGCTTAATAGTTTTAGCTCTTACATTTAGATCTAGGATTCATTTTTAATTAATTTTTGTGTATGGTGTAAGAGTGAAAGTTTATTACATATGGCTCTCGAATTGTTCCATGTTCATTTGTTGAAAAAGATTATCTTTATCCATCTAATTGCTTTGGCACCTTTGTAGAAATCAATTGACCATATGTGTAGGTCTGTTTCTGTACTCAATAATACACTGTCTTGATTACTGCAGCTTTTTTAAAAAGATTTTTTATTTTATTTATTTATTTGATAGCGAGTACAAGCAGGGGGCAAGGCAGGCAGAGGGAGAAGCCGGCTTCCCGCTGAGCAGGGAGCCCGATGCCGGGCTTGATCCCAGGACCCTGGGACCATGACCTGAGCCCAAGACAGACGTTTAACCGACTGAGCCACCCAGGCGCCCCACTGTAACTTTTTAATAAGTTTTGAAATAGGGTAGTATAAATCATCCAAACTCGTTCTTTCTCAAAATTGTTTTGGCTATTCAGAGTCTTTTGCATTTCCATGTAAACTTTAGTATCAGCTAATTTGTATTTTTTTAAAAAGCCTACTGGGATTTGGTTGGTATTGCATTGCATCTGTAGACTAATTTGGGGAGAACTGACATCTTAACAATATTGAGTCCTCTCATCCCTGAGGATGGTATAGCTCTCCATTCAGTCAAGTTATCTTTAATTTCTCTCAACAGTGTTTTGTAATTTTCAACATACAGATCTTGTATATTTTTAGTCAAATTTGTCCCTAAGTTTTTCATATTTCTGATGCTATTGTAAATGGTATTGCTTTTATCAATTTCAAATTCTAAATGGTCCTTGCTAGTGTATATAGAATTAATTTTTGCATATTAACTTGTATCCTCCAACCTTGCTAAACTCATTTATTAGTTTTAGTAGCTCCTATGTAAATTCCTTAAGACTTTTCACATGTCTGTGAATAAAGAGAGGTTTACCTCTCCCTTTCCAATCTGGATGCTTTTTATTTATTTTTCTTGTCGTATAGTATTAGTTAGGACCTCCAGTACAATATTGAATTAATAAGTTACATTTCATCAAAATTAAAAACTCAGGGTGGGGGGGTCAGGAGAAGGGAATTTAAAAAGGATATGGGGGAAAAAAATAAAAAGGACATGGAGAGGGGTGCCTCAGTTGGTTAGACATCTGACCCTTGATCTCAGCTCAGGTCTTGATCTCAGGGTTATGAGTTCAAGCCCCCCACTGGGCTCCATACTGTGCGTGGAACCTACAATAAACAAACAAACAAATAAATAATGGGAAAATTTGGGGGTGATATGTGCTCATTATTTAGATTGTTGTAATGGTTAATGAATGTACACTTACATCACAAGTCATTACATTGGGTGCCTGGGTGGCTCAGTCAGTTGGGTGTTTGCCTTCAGCTCAGGTCATGATCCCAG